TCATTAGTATTAAGATACTCAGCACTGTGCCTGCGGACCGGGGAGGGAGATCTCTGATCTCCCCTCCAGTCCGCAGGCACATAGCAGGGCTAGCACGTGCATGTGCAGGCAGGGGAGAGGGAGACCGGCGGTATTCTCGGGGGGAGGGGGGGCAATTGCCCCGTTGCCTCCCCCCTGGATCCGCCACTGTAACAGTGTTACAATGTCATTATTGATAAATTTTAAAAATATATATTTTGAAACAGGAATGTCCTACTTATATCCCTATATCTTGCTCACAAAAAAACATGTTAACATTGGGTATTTTTAAACTCAGGACAAAATTTAGAAACTATTTAGCACGAGTGTTTATGTGTGTATGCATGTATATATGGTTACACACCTGAACCAAATATGTACAATAATTAGGTTCACTGCCAAAATTAGTCCAGAGAAGGTTCAATACCTGGACCTTGAACTATCAGTGGGATTACATCAGATTGAATACTCTTTGTACACCAAGGTCACAGACAGGAATACGTTATTACATGCACGAAGTGCACATCCGATAGCCTTGAAAAATTCCCTTCCCAAAGCTCAGTACCTTAGGGTCATCAAAAAAAAAACTCAGATGAACATAAGAAGGAAGCGTTGTTTGAGGCAAAGTATGCCCGCACGCAGACGACGGCAAACCCAACACAACGATTGGTCTTCCCCATGACCTTTCACCGGTCTACACCACAGGTCACATCAATCATCAAAAAAAGCGATATCACCAGATGACACATTGTCAAAAGTCTTTAAGGAAACACCCCTTATATGTTATAAGAGGAACAGAAGTCTCTGAGATCTATTGGTACACACGGATCCCATCAAAAGTTACTCATCAACTACCCAATCACACAGCCGGGGTAGTGTTCGCTGTTTGGGATGTGTAACATGTGGGCATATGACTCCAGCAAAATCGTTTAATCACTGCATACTAACAGAAAATATTATATTAAATTAACCATCACATGCAAAACCCCTTTTGTGGTTTACAAATTGGTATGCCCCTGTGGGTTATGTTACATCAGCAAAATTGAGACACCACTCTGCGAACGTATTCGAGGACATCGTTCAAGCATTAGATTGGCCTATAGGGAATCATTTTCGGACAAACCCGTTGCAAAACATTTTCTTGAATTTCAACATCCATTGGCATCCTTAAAATTCATGGGCATTGAACTGACTTGAATTGGACATGGTAGCACCTAAGGGACTCAATGAAACATTGTCCTACCATTCATTCCTCTGAATTACTCCAGCTGGCTATAATTATGGATTATTGTTTTTAAAGTGGTTGTGGTTAGGTGTGTTGTTTTATTTCTTTTTTTATATATACTTCCTTTACAGTTTCAGCTTAAATGTGCAATTCTCTATGCATCAGCATCACTTTATTCTAGTCACTAGAGCACTTTGTTAAAACACAGGTCTATGCATTTTTGATCACTTTTTTCTTGCACTCACACTTTATTACCACATTAGCTTTATGCAAAGGTTGCCATGGACGTACCAGGTATGACCGAGGTCGTTAACGACCATTTTTTGTCAGAAGTACCTGGTGCGTCCGCGTTCGGGAAAGGGGTTAAGAAGCATTAAAGATTGATATTGGCATTTATATCTTTTTTAGGAGAAATTTCAGACATTCGGATTTATAGGATGCATCATCTTTTATTAATTGAATGATTAAAGGTTATGTTTTAATTATTGTCTTTTTTTCCAATACCATTACACTTTTCAGTAAGACAGAACTCCTGCTCTGTAGTTGTGAGGTCCATCTCTTATGCGGCAGAGAGCTCAATTAATCTCCTTACACGGTGCACCTGTCAGCAGATCCAGTGGGGGAGAACACAGTGTATAGCGCGTCCCTTATTCCGAACCTGCGTGGCAGCACTTCAAGCGTGCATGGAGGGGAAGTGAAAACCCTGTACAGCTTGCAGCCTGGAGCAGCTCACTACTCCATGGTCCACAGGGAAACCACCCTTCTCCAGCACAAAGGCAGTGTGTGTATGGCAGTTTGTACCTGTGTGTTGTGTGACATTGTGCATTTATTTGTGTATATGTGTATGTGCTGTGTATATGTATGTGGCAGTGTGTATCTTTGTGTTGCACTGTATATCAGTTTGTATATACACTTTATGGACAAAAGTATTGGGTCACACCTCTTAATTATTGAATGCAGGTGTTTCAATCAGACCCATTGCCACAGGTGTATAAAATTCAGCGCCTAGCCATGCAGTCTGCATTTACAAATATTTGTTTAAAAAATGGGTCATTCTAAAGAGCTCAGTTAATTCAAGCATGGTACAATGATAGCATACCTTTGCAATAAGTCACTTCATGATATTTCATCTCACTAGACATTCCACAGTCAACTATATGTGGTACAATTGGAAAGTGGAAGCATTTAGGAACACCAACAACTGATCTGAGAGGGTAGTGGATGCATGGAATAGCGTTCCAGCTGAAGTGGTAGAGGTTAACACAGTAAAGGAGTTTAAGCATGCGTGGGATAGGCATAAGGCTGTCCTAACTATAAGATAAGGCTAGGGACTAATGAAAGTATTTAGAAAATTGGGCAGACAAGATGGGCTGAATGGTTCTTATCTGCCGTCACATTCTATGTTTCTATGACCTACGAAGCAGAAGACCATGTAAAGTCACAGAGCAGGGTACCAAGTGCTGAGGTGCATAGTGTATAAAAGTCATTAACACTCTGCTAATTCCATAGCCACAGATTTCCACCCTTCCACTAACATTAATATCATCACAAAAACTGTGCGGTGGTAGGTTCATGGAATGGGTTTCCATAGTCGAGCAGCTGAATGCAAGCCTCACATCCCCAAGTAAAATGCCAAGCATTGGATCGGGTGATGTAAACATGTCGCTACTGGACTCTGTTTGGAAGTCTGATGTGGAAGTCTGGATTTGGCGGATGCCAGGAGAATGTTAACTTCCTAATTGCAATATACCAACTGTAAAATTTAGTGGAGTATTGGGCTGTTTTTTAGTGTTTGGGCTAGGCCCATTTCTACCACTGAAGGGAAATCTTAATGCTTCAGCATACCAAGACATTTTGGACAATGCTATGCTTCCAACTTTGTGGGAACAGTTTGGGGAAGGCCCTTTTCTATCACAGCATGACTGTGCCACAGTGCACAAAGCAAGGTCCATAAAGACATGGTTGGATGAGTTTGGTAGGGAAGAACTTGACTGGCCCACTCAGAGCCCTGACCTCAATCCCTTTTAACACATTTGGAATGAAATGAAATGTGCGAGCCAGGCCTTCTCCAAAATCAACACCTGACCTCATAATTGCTCTACTGGATGAATGAACACAATTCCCACATAAACTCTCCAAAATCTTAAGGAAAGTCTTCCAACTAAATATTAATGTCTATGTATTTCTCCTATAAACTATAAGCTCATTTGAGCAGGGTCCTCTTCAATCTATTGTTCCTGTAAGCTTTCTTGTAATTGTCCTATTTATAGTCACATCCTCCCTCTCATAATATTGTAAAGTGCTATCGAATCTGCTGGCGCTATATAAATGGCAATAATAATAATAATAATAATAATGTATTTAGAATGTGATGTCATAAAAGTCCATGTTGGTGTAATGGTCAGGTGTACCGATTCTTTTGTCCATATAGTTTATGTCTGGCATTGTGTCTGTGTGTGGCAGTGTGCATCTGTGTTTGTAATATGTGTTTGCAATGGTGAATCAGTATTAGTGAGTATCTGTGTGAACGTGAACATGTATGAATGTGAGTATCTGGGAATGCAAGCCTCTGAGTGTTTGAGCATGACTGTTTGTCCTTATCTGAAGGAAATTTAAATGTGTCGACAATTGGTTTGAGTATACAGTAGAAGTAGTAAAATGCACTGCAGTGCATATGTGTGCTATATATTATTCTAAAATGCTGCAGTAATATACAATGATTTGTTAAATGTATGAATTTACCACACATTCCTGCACACACACACACCAACATTCAGCCACTACCCACACTCACACAGCACTCAGTCTCCCCCATACATATAAAATACTCAGTTACTCCTTTCCCCAATCTGGTATCTTGCCTAGGGGCCTGAGCAATCTCACCTTTGCACTTTATTGTAAACTCTCCTAGAAACCAACTATTTCTGTTCATGAAATACATTTTCCTCTTATTTTTATGTAATTATACTCCACTGTCCTTAGAATATAAGAATGAGAACAGCCCTGATCTGTTCTCTACATCCAATTTATGCATCAAAACAAAGTCAAATAGCACACTGACCGCATTCCTACCCTTCCACCTCCTATAACCGCCGATCCAGTACCAGCACTTTACTTAGTATACCGCAATACAAAAAGAAAGTGTCTCGATACTCATTTTACTACAGAGCACCGCAATTATGGAACGACCTCCCGCACACTTTAAAATCTTCCCCAAGCCTAAAATCCTTTAAGAGATCCCGCTCTACATATCTCAAAACAGAATGCACCTGTCATGGTTGATCATATAATTCCTACCTGTTCTATGTTAAATTTTGTATATATTGTGTATTAATATTGTTTTTGTATTTTATTGTATCATAATGTATCAATGCAATGTTTTGTTGACCCAGTACATACTTGAAAACGAGAGAAATCTCAATGTATCCTTCCTGGTAAAGTATTTTATAAATAAATAAATCTTATTGCAACTAGTTCTTTAACAATGATAATAGGATATTGCCTAATACAAACTATATAACATAAAATAATTTATTGTTCTACGACTTTCATTTATGGAAAATACTGAATAGGACAGTGAATGGGATAATAATACATACAATATGAGATAAGAGATGCTGTGTGCTATTTTAGCTGAACAAAACTCTGGAATGTGGACTCTTATCTTTCCCGGCTCTCTAAGGCCATCTTTGGTCCTCTGTCCAAGATGTAGAGCTATTTTAGCTGCACTAGAGATAAACAGCAATATAAAAAGTAAGGGGCAGGAATTCCAGTAGGACACAGAAGAAACGAAGAAGATGGTAAGTGACTGTGCATAATGTTCCCAGACTTCATAATTTATATTCTTAGACATTGATAAATCTGTGACTCCTGAAACACAGTGCTGTTACTGAACATCCATCACTCTGTTACTCCCATACAATTCTATTAATGAACCACTTCCCTGTTACTAATGTACTGACAATATTTTATTGGACTTCCCTCATTCTGCTCTTCCCCTACTGGCAAACACAATACCATTACTGGACATCTATCACACAACACCTGTACTGCCTGTCTTTCTACCTATTGATTTATATAGCTCAACTACTTTCCTACTTATACCCAATCACTCTGCACACTTACTCACACAACCTTATCAAAGGACATGGGTCTCTCTTACTTCTGTACTGACCCACACAATACTATCACTTTGCATCCATCACTTTGTAACTCCAGTATTTACTAAAACAATGCTGTTATTAATAGTCCTACCCCAATCCATACAAAGCTATTACACAATTTCAAACACTTTGTTAATCCTGTACAGACCCACACAATGCTTTTCCCGAGCATGCAGCCCCCCAGGGCACTGCATCTCTTGTACACACACACACACACACACAATGCTGTTACTGGACCTGCATCACTCTAACTTCTTCACTGACCAACACAGTCTTGTCACTGGACTTCAGTCACTATGTAACTCCTGTACTGACAAACACAGAACTGTTACTTGACTTGCATCACTCTGTAACTCCTGTATTGACCCACACAGTGGACCTGTTAAACTTCCCCAGAAATGCTCATGCCCTGTAGGTCACAGATACACATTATGATTCTTACTAGTTTTACAGCTCATTGCTTTTTCATTGTATTATAATCTTGTGAGATATACAACACACACGGTATTCAGAAAGTACTCCAGCCCTTCATGTTTTTCACGTGTTATGTCGCAGCCTTATGCTACAATTGTTTATTTATTTTTATTTGTCTACATTCAATACCCCATAATGATAAAGCAAAAGACAAATTTTTGCCCCATTGCAAATATATAAAACAGAAAAACAACTGCCACTTAGTTATTGCAGCAAGTACAATCTCAAGTATTGGCGGTATATTGTGACAAGATTTGCACCTTTATTTGGGTAGTTTCTGACATTCATCTCTGCAATCCTCTCAAACTCAGGTTGTTGGTAGGCACCCATTTTCCGGTCTCTCCAGAGATTTGATTGGGTTCAAGTCCAGTCTCTGGCTGGGCCAGGCTTCCGTCTGGTCAGTTGCCATAAAAGCCAGATCAGTGGCATGTTGTTGTCATGGCTGTCTTTCCAAAGGGTTTCTCCCATCTCAACATAAGATCTCTGGAGTTCATTTAGAGTGACAATAGAGAGCTTAATTATCTTACTTAACAAGGCCTCTCACTCCTAATTGCTCAATTTGGCAATGAGGCCAGCTCTGGGAAGAGTCCTGGTTCTGCCAAATGTAATCCTTTTAAGTCACTTTATTCTCTTTATTACGGGAACCTTCCATGAAGCCAAAATTGTTTGTAACCAGGGGCGTACCTAGAGCATTTGGCACCCGGGGCGGGTCCTATTTTTGGCACCCCCCCTTGCTCCCCCCCCTCAACTTTAAATATAAAAACAACTAAAAAATGTTTTAATGTATTTAGCACTAAGCAGTGTTTGTGTTTTTGAATGTATGCATGTTTTTGTATGGAGTATATGTGAGTGAATGTAGCGGTGTGTTTGTATGTAGTGTTGGCGTTTGAATGCAAGCATGCATTTGTGTGTTGTGTGGTATTTGAATGCAGTGGTATGGTTATATATAATGGTGGGGTTTGTGTGTAGTGTTGATGTTGAAATGCAAGAGTGTATTTGTGTGTAGTGTTGGCGAGATTTTTAGATGTCTGCACATATACACATACATACACACACAAACACAGTCACACACAGATACATATTGATACACATGCAGACATCGTGGTGACTCTAGGAACAATATATATGGGGGGGCACATAAGATACCACAGTCAAAACAGGAGGGGGAGGTGGAGCAGTAAAACTTCTCACTAGGGGATGGGGTAATATGCTGCCATTGGCTGTCTGATGCCAGCATGCTGTGTTCTGCATGCTGGCATCTGACTACACATTTGCATATAATTCACATTAGCCACACAGATTTCTTGTTGTGGGCTGGCTGACACCTCTTAATTTCAATCTTTGTTTAGCAGATAACTCCTCTATTTGCTATCCTTTGTGGGATTGCCATATTTAAGGACACCAAATAAGGTGCTATCTGCTAAACAGCACCCTAATTTGGTATCTTTAAATATGGAAATCTCACATAAGGACACCAATTTAGAGAATTATCAACTAAACAGCTAAAAGATTTTATTTATTTATAAAATATTTTACCAGGAAAGATACATTGAGATTTCTTTCGTTTTCAAGTATGTCGTGTGTGTGTGTGAATGCTTTCCTATGTGACCGGCTGAATGCGCGCGCAGCTCTTGCCGCGCGTGTGCATACAGCCGCATGGGAGGAGAAGAGGAGGATCGGAGGAGGAGAGCTCTCCGCCCAGCGCTGGAAAAAGGTAAGTTTTAACCCCTTTCCCCTTTCCAGAGCCGGGCGGGAGGGGGACCCTGAGGGTGGGGGCACCCTCAGGGCACTATAGTGCCAGGAAAACAAGTATGTTTTCCTGGCACTATAGTGGTCCTTTAATTTGGTATGTAAAGAATCAACAATAGAATCAAGTTGATTCAACAATAGAATCAACAATAGAAACAAGTAGAAATATTTATATATTTTTACCAAATGTAATAATTTTGCAAAGTTTTCAAAAATATGTTTTTTACTTTTTCATTATGAGGTATTAACTGTAGAATGTTATGAAAAAAATTATTTAAACAACTGTAGCATAAGACTGCAACATAAAAAAATGAAAAAAGTACAGGGGTCTGAATACTTTCTGAATGCACTGTATTATATATAATGCTGCTCCTGTGATTACTCTTAGCTGAATTGCACTCACTGTGAGCATAAATCATTACTGTATATTTCTAAGATGCTCCAGCATAAACAGTCACTCACTCTCACAATTTGTTGCACAGGCCAGCAGAAAGGCAGTAACCAGAGGGAAAGCAGCTGCTAAACGTGCTCAGCGTGGCTCCTCTAATGTCTTCTCCATGTTTGAGCAATCCCAGATCCAGGAATTCAAGGAGGTAAAGCAGTGTGCTATCTCGTTAAACACAGCAAAGCTGGTACTTGTGTAAAAAATGATGACTTTCATACAAGGTTAATTCTTTGGGGAATGTGGATTACAAAAAACACACACAACACTGATGGGCATATATAAGAATAAGAATTTGTATATTCACATTAATCAGTAAATTAGGCCACTGTTAGAGAATTACAGAGTTAAGTCTGTATTCAATTAAAATAGTTTTAACATTTAATTCATTGATTATATGACATACTGGGTGTTTGATCCCTCTGTCCTCCATGCTTTTATTGGTTAGTGCATTCTTTCCAACGGCCATATAAAAGAAAAGAGACTCAGGACTATGGCACCTTACAGATAGTTTTGGGCTGTTCCTCACCTCTCTGTAGTTATAGTGACACTATTAAACTGAAGTCGTCACTACCCACAATATTCATTTTCTGTTTACCTAAACATAAATTAATCACCCCTTCTATGCTGATTAGTAAGCACCTTATTTCCCCTTTATCCACAGCTTTCTTACCAGGTTGGAATTACCAACCAGCTTTCATTACCAGGTCTTTCACTCTTCCTTACTATGATACGTAGCTCACACATATTCACCATTACATCAAGCTGCATCTATTGCAATTTCTTTGTTCACTACTTTGTGCAAATAATACTGATTTTCTTATTCCAGGCATTCAGCTGTATAGATCAGAACCGAGATGGAATTATTACCAAATCTGACCTCAAAGAAACATATATGCAATTAGGTGAGTTACCCTACTCAATCAAACAAAGAGGAAATTAATGGCAATGCTGTTGTAAAGTAATGGATCTGCTCCTGTATAACAATGCTTATAAAAATGTCATAATTCACAATAACAGATTTTGCAGAGTACACATCTTACAGAATCCTTCCAGCCTCAACTGATAGATATGCTGGGACTCATCTATTCACTTTTAAGGGGAATACCATTAAATAAGACATTGAAAATGACCTAGAACTAACAACATTTTTTCTTGTGACGCTCCATTTTATTCTGAATTGATTTACAGACCCATAAAGCACTTAAAGGGACACTGTAGACACCCATGCCACTTCAGTTAATTGAAGTTGTCTGGGTGCTGTGACCCTTTTGCACTTAGTGCTGCAATGTTAAACATTGCAGTTCCAGAGAACTGCAATGTTTACATTGCAACTCTAAGTCTGCCCTCTGTGGCTGTCTAACAGACAGCCACTATAGGGATCTTGGATTCTAAACGGACTTTTGGTCCGTTATCTGATGCTGGACGTCCTCATGGACCTCCAGTGTCAGATTTTCCCCATAGGACAGCATTGAATAATGCTTTCCTATGGGGAGGTCTAATCCGTGCACGGCTCTTGCCACGCATGCGCATTAGGTCTCCCCCGCCGGGTGACGTCAGACGGCAGGGGAGGAGCGTGGGCAGAGCCTGACCCAGCGCCGAGGGACATTGGCGCTGAATTCAGGTAAGTGGCTGGAGGGGTTTAAACCCCTTAAGCCCCGCGGGAGGGCTGCCCCAAGGAAGGGCGGAGGCACTACAGGAGTATGCAGTGCCACGGGTTTGTTTTCCTGGCACTAAAGGATCCCTTTAATATTGCTGAAATGCTTCAGATGTAAAGAGAGCTGCCCCTTTTTCCGCCTTCTTACATTCTCTTGTCTGTCAATCAGACAACCAGTCCTGTTGCTTCCTGGTTTTGTTAGCTCAGTAAAACTAAAAGCAAGAGGCAACTGTCCGGAGCACCAGCCTTCAACAGACATTTCAATGAACTGCATTGGGCAGTCTGTCATTGGACGCCCACACAAAGTCTAGGCTGAAGAAGAAGAAAAAGAGAGTTTTGCAAAGACTGCAGAAAAGACATCTGCAGGTTTTTGAGCTGTTTTTATTAAATGAATTTAAAAAAAAAAACACATAATTTAATGCATGCATGTTTTCATTGTGGTCTATCTACTAAACAGTTTTATTATTTTATTTAGGCAGTAGAATGCAGGGCCGGATTAACATAGGGGCTGATGGAGCTGCAGCTCCAGGCCCAGGCCCATGGAATAGGCCCATTGATTTAAAAAAAAAAAATATATATATATATATATATATATTTTTTTTCACACACTACTCTTAGGGATTCCACATGGCTTTTATTTTATTGGCACAGCCAGTATTTGAGGCTGCCTGGCTGGTGCCAATATTGCAGTGATACTGGCAAAATAAATGCTGGTATTTTTCTCAGTATAAATGGAGATTACTCTGCAATACCAGCACTGGCCAGTAGGGGTCGCTGTATGTGGAGACAGGCAGGGATAGGAAGTTCCAGCATATCCCTCCCTGCCTATCTATAATCACTGATCTACAGGGGAGCAGCTACAGAGAGTCCAGACAGCAACTCCCATCCTGCAGAGACAGCCTACAGCTCAGGGAAGTAAGGGATGGGGGAAAAGGCTGCAAGGAGGCATACACTGAGACACTAAGGGGCACTGGGAGACATTATGGCAGACACTGAGACACTAAGTGACATTGGGAGACATTATGGCAGACACTGAGACACTAAGGGACATTGGGAGACATTATGGCACAGACACATGGGGACATAGTGTCCCCATGTCTCCCAGCCAGTGTCCCTGGTGTCTCAGTGCCCCCTAGTCTCCCAGTGACCCCTAGTCTCCCAGTGCCCACAGTCTGCCAGTGTCTCACTATCCCCATGTCTCCTATTGCCTCAATGTCTCTCAGTGCCTCAAGTGTCACAATGTCCCCAAGCTAGTGTTCCTAGTGCCTGTGGCCCTGGTGTCTCAGTGTCCCCATGTCTCCCAGTGCCCCCATGTCTCAATGTCCCCATGTCCCCCAGTCAGTGTCTCTAGTATCTTTGTCCCTGGTGTCTGTGTCCCCATGTCTTCAAGTGTCCCCTATTTTCCCATTGTCCCCATGTGTCCCCCTAGTCTCCCAGTGTCACTGGTGTCTCCTTGTCCCTAGGTCTCCCCGTGTCCCCAGGTCTCCCCATCTTCCTAGTGTCCTAGTGACATGGGGACCCTGGGATACATGGGGACACAGGGAGACATGGGGCATTGAGACACTGATACATAGGATCACTGGGAGACCTGGGGACACAACATTAGGGGACACTGGGAGACATGGGGCACTGAGACACTGATACATAGGAACACTGAGACCTGGAGTAATCGACACATGGGGGCACTGAGTCATGAGGGCACTGGGAGACATGGGGGCACTGGGAGGAATCCATCTATACAGCAGATTCAAACTAAGTAGTTTTTTGATGATTTTACAGCATTTTCTCTTATGTCACTCCTTGTGATTTACATCATGTGATGTCACCCACACATATTTAATTATGCAAATTAGTAAGGCCGGTATGTTTTTCCAAGAAAGGTGGCAACCCTAACTACTTTTCACATACTCTTACTTAAGTATAGAAACTTAAGAGGGATGTATGGGAACAACATTTGTGTGGACTGGCTGACAATGAATATAGGTAAAGAAACACTATAGTCACCAGAACAACTACAGCTTATTGAATTTGTTCTGGTGAGTAGAATCATTACCATCAGGCTTTTTGCTGTAAGCATGGTCTTTTCAGAGAAAATGCTGTGTTTACATTACATACTAGTGATAACTTCACTGGCTACATGACTGTTAGAGATCCTCCCTGGGTCATGGCTGCCTAAAATGCATCCAAACATTCAGTATCTCCTCCCTCTGCATGCAGACACTGAACTTTCCTCATAGAGATTCATTAATTAAATTCATCTATATAAGGAGATGCTGATTGGTCAGGGCTGTGTTTGAATCATGCTGGCTCTGACCCTGATCTGCCTCTTTGTCAGTCTCAGCCAATCCTATGGGAAAGCACTGTGATTGGATCAGGCCACCACTTCTAATGATGTCAGCAGACTGCTTGTTTTTATGAGCCTAACAGCATGCAGAGTTACAGCTTCAGGCTTGAATATAGTAGGATTTTGCTATATTTATGGAGGCATGTGGGGCCCAGGGGGCTAGATGGTGGTGTTAACACTATATGGTCATGAATTCATGTTTGTGTTCCTGACCCTATAGTGATCCTTTAAGGTAATGCTGACTTTGGTCTCTCTAACACTGTGGCATGTTCCCTTTCTTCTACACTCACTACATACAGCTTTTCTCTGTCCCAGACCATATACCAGGAGCTTCTGCCTGCTAGTAAGAAGGTAAGGAGACAAGTGGACCAGCGAGTGCTAGGGGACAGTCCTTAGAAAGCGTTGAGCGAGCGCATCATTAGATGCATTTATGCCAAGCTCAGGGTGCTGTCTGCATAGTATGCCCTTTGTTGGCCAGCTGCATGATTGGCAGGCAGCCTGACATGCATTCATGCCAGGCTGGCCTTCTAATTCTTTGAGCAGACATGTCCTCTTTTTGGGCATGTTCGCCCCTTTTGGCAGGTTACGTGATTTGTGTCAGTGGCACACCCTTTTACCAATGCCCATTGACTTCCTGCTTGACTGGGCACTGCTGTTAGGGGTTATGGATTACTTGAAAGATGAAAACATAAATTAGAGAGAGATTAGACTAGGGTATGTGTTTTCTTATAGCTGCTGTTTTCTTTCTCTCCAGCACCATCTCCATCTCCATCCAATACATGATGCTTGGGAGTGTTTTACTGTTTTTGGTCGATATGATTCTGTAATTAGGCCCGTCATAATTGTCAGCACCAGGCCCACTGGGCTCTTAATCTGGCCCTGGTAGAATGTACCTTTAACCCATGAAAGCCATTAGGGCAGGCTATGCCATCGTGCAGTAGGTTTAAACACCATTAGGGCGGTGTAGCACACTGTAATTATTTAGCCCTCCATGCGGTCCACCTTTTCATGCTGCCGATCACCATCTGGGGGTCTGCCTAGCAACTCAGCCAGTCCCCCTGCAGCCAATGAAGGTGATCTGCAGCATGTCATTGTGGTGACAGGCTGTCACCATGATCACAATAATAATGTCTCAGCCAATCATTTGTAACATTGGCTGAGACATTGTCTCTGTCCCTCTCTTTGATCTGAGGCAAGAGTGGCAGACAGTTCATTGCCTAAACTGAGCTTCTGTGTTAAAAAGTGTTTTGTTTTTTTTAAATAAAAATAAATCATTTTTCTTTTTGTCAGCAGCAGTTTTTAATTTTATTTATCCCCTTCCCTGCTGTCTGATACTGTACCATACAATACAGATACTATACAGTACTGTGATAAGTGTGATCAGCGGGTTTTCTGATCAAGCTGGCATTTATTTCTGTTTTTTATAAAAAGAAAACAAAATTTAAAAATGACCTTTTTAGTGCTGGTCGCAGCAGTTTGATCTGTGATCAGTAATTTATTTAAATTTTTGTGTTGGGTTTTCTGTTGGTGGAAGTAGGAATTGTAAATCAGGCAGGTAGGCAAATTAAATTATTACCATTAGTGGCATAGCATAAATTAATCTCCATAAGATGGCACGATATTTTACCGCATACAATAGCGTGTCAGTGTGGGATCCAGAAGCTAATCTCGGGAGGGGCACTGGCAGATCATTTTAAGAAACAATTCAGGCACAATAACCACTACAGCTCTCTGTAGTGATTTTGGTGCCAGGAGTTGCTGTGACGCCCTCACTGAGTAAGTAGTCAAACCGTTTAAAAAAAAGTTTGATAACTTACCCAGGGTCTCCTGGGATAGGGGCTGTAGTGTGTATGTATGTGAGGGGTGCAGTGTGTGTGGGGGTCGCAGTATGTGTATGCAGGGGTAGTGCGTGTGTGCGAGGGGTGAAGTGTATGTATGGGGCAGCAATTTGTATATTGGGAGCAGTGTGTTTGTGTGTAAAGGGTGTAGTGTGTGTACTGGCAGTTCTAGTGGGAGAGTGAACTCTAACCTGCTCTGTGCTCGCAAGAGGAGACCCGGCGGAGCTGCAGGTTAGAGCTCCCCCGGGTCCTCTCTCCCTCCTCTGCCGGCCGTCCAGCAATGTGCCTGTGTGGGCCGGGGAGAGAGATCACTGATCTCGCCTCTGGTCTGTGATGGTAAACAGCAGGGCTGGGCGCTTCGATAGCACCAGCCCTGCATGGGCTGGCAGAGGAGAGCCTCGGACTCACTATTTTTGCCCCGTTCCCACCCCCCCCCGGATCCGCCAATGTAGCGTGTCTGCCATTTTGGTAGGTTCTGATAGTGACATTCACGCAGACAGTGACACTATGACTGCCTCTAACATTGAGCTTCTAAGTGAGTCCTCCAGTGATGGTGCCCCACCACCATCTACAAGAAGGCCCATAGGATGCCACAAAGTACCAGATTAAAACTGGGTACCCGAAATTTGATTGCCCTAGAATTACCACGATTCACAACTACACCTGGCAACACAACAACAGTAGATGTTTGTGAGCCAGTGAACTATTTTAGCCTCTTAATGTCAGACGACATATTTGAGCTGATGGTTGAGCAAAGAAACTTGTGTGCCACCCTGTATTTTTAAGCGAATCCGGGGTCACATTACAGTAGAAAAAAAATGTGGCATCCCACTAATGTGGCAGAAATGAAAACATTTTGGGCACTAACTCTAGTAATAGGCAATGTGAGGAACCCAAGTATGAGGTCCTACTGGCACAAGTATCCCATCCTGGCTTCCCCCGCTGCGATTCCTCTATTTTAATGATAACACCCTGTGTACCACTAGAAACGACCCATAGTTTGACAGGCTCTACAAAATCCGTCTCCTTATCCAACTCCTTTTCCAAGTTTATATCCCAGACCAAAATATTTGTATTGATGAATCCCTTGTGAAATTTAAAGGTAGAATGCTTTTCAAATAATATATCCCATTGAAGCGGTCATGATATGGCAATAAATTCTATAAATTAGGTTAATCTACTACTGGTTATACATGGGCATTTCAGATTTATCAAGATAAGTATAGCCACCTTGACCCACTATAATGCCCAGATTATGTGGGCACAAATGGCAAGATTGTGCTACATCTGTTCCTTCCCTGAGGGATACAGGCTATGGGTTGATAATTATTATACCAGCATTGATTTATTTAAATGTGTATTTTGTTTCAAAACCCAAACATGTGGTAAAGTGTGTAAAATAAGCAGAAATTTCTCCCAAACAATGACAAGCGGCAGATGCAGTAGAGGCTCCTCTTCAGCTCCACGCCAGGATGAGCTGCTGGCCCTTCGGTTCACAGATAAGAAGGATGTGTACATGCTGCCTACAATGCACAATGAAAGTACTGTGCCAGTGTCTGTCAGAGAAAGAACGGAGATGCATGAAAACCAGAAGTGCATTGTAGACTACAGCAAGTATATGGGAGAGTAGACTTGGCTGATCGATGTATACAGCCTGGTGAACAGAAAAACTAGGTCCTGGTACAAGAAAATTGCAATCTACTTAAGCCAGGTTGCATTTTTCAGTTCCTATATGCCAAATAAGAAATATAGCCATATGGAAGACATACCTATATCTTGATTTTATGTTGAAACTTTTGTCTGATGTTTTATTTATCCAATCCTCCATATCTGGAATCAGAAGATGTACAAAGACTTTGTAGCAAGCATTTTCCTTCCTGAATTCCCCTTCCACTCCCTGTAAAAATTCAGTCTGGAGAAAGTGTCCCATTTGATATAAGAATGGAGGAACTCTAGTTATTACTGCCCTTCCTGCCTTCTGCATAACAAACTGTTTCAGAGTTTACCACACAGAGCTGAACTATTGACTCACTCTGCATGGGACTTTGCCAGTTTGATTATTCTGGATTTCTGACCTCAGCTTGTCCAGATTACTCTTTGCTAGCTGCCTGTTATACGAACTACACTGACTTCTGGATTCCCCTGACCTTGGCCCTAATATATTTGACCCTGCAACTTTCCTGGGTTTTTCATGTGGGGAACTATTGGTGAGACAATGCTACGCAAAAATATTGAAGCTTTATTACCCTAGTGCACATGAAAATTGAATTTATGTATGTAAAAAAATACAAATAAAAGTGTTTTTTTTTTTCCCATTTGTGGCTAGACTGAACATCTCAAAATATGCCATTTGGAATATTCTGGGTTGCCTGCTTTTCAAAATAGTAAAAAGTTGACAATCACTTCATCAAATTTGCATATACATATATATATATATATATATTTGTATATACACCGGTATTTAAAAGAAGAAGACAGATTTTTAATGGTAAATGGGATTTGATAGAAAACCTGCTAATACTTATTCAATATTTACTAAGACTATTGGGTCCTAGCAGACGTCCTAGCAAGGGAGAAACTCATACACAATACACATTGGTAAAACAGGACACATATGATAATTAAAGCGGCACTGTCATGGCCGCATCCATTTTTTTTTAACCTACCTCCCGACTCCACTACATCTAATTGCCCCCCTAGTTACTCTCAAATGCTCCTAATCCCCCTGTAACGGAACCGCTTGCACCCCGACCGGGTACATAGAAACATAGAATGTGACGGCAGATAAGAACCATTCGGCCCATCTAGTCTGCCCAATTTTCTAAATACTTTCATTAGTCCCTGGCCTTATCTCATAGTTAGGATAGCCTTATGCCTATCCCACGCATGCTTAAACTCCTTTACTGGGTACCTTCCGTTGATGGATGCTCCTAGAACTTCCGAGGACTTCAAGCACTCCACCTGACACCATAACCACTGTAGACTCCCACGAACTGCCGCAGCTTGGTTGGGGTCTCGCCGTCTTCACCCACTCTGGACCCAAGACCAGGGTCCAGCTTCCAGTAAGGTCAACCTCTCCGAATTCCAGAGAGCAGGAACAGGAACAAGCTCTTAGCAGAGCTTAGTGATCATACCCTGGGGAGTATAGTGATTATAGCAATCCCCAGAGTGTAGTTCTCCAACCGCCCAAACATGAGCCGAAACTTCATGAAGGTACAAGATGATCTGACTCCAATGAGGGTTTATTACTCCTTATATACAAGTTTTCAGGCAAGAGGCACACCCCCAGAACCTGGTGGTAAACTGTGACAAAAGGGACACAAACCAATGGGAACACTAATTAACATAATAACATTCCCACATACACAATGAAATCCCTCCTCTCCATCCTGGAGATAATTGGCTTAAGGCACTGCAGTAAACTCAATTATCTCCAGGTACAGAAAATATCTACATTTTACAGTAACAGCAAAAATACAAAAGTACATAAAAATACATAAATCTTATTATATTACACAGAACCCCCACATTTAACCTATCCCCAAATAGCTCGGATCTGAGAGCCCAATCTAGGTGAACAGCGCTCTGATCCCATGAACAGAGTAAATTTGCCATGGGGTAAAGCATAGCAAGGGCTGTTGAGAAACCAAGGAGGGACAAAAGCAGTCAGTTCCAACTGGTTTGGCAGTGTGCCTGGGACAACGCCCTGCTGGAGAACAATAGACAGGAAACAGGGAGAGGAAGAAACACACCTTCCCATGGAATCAAATGGGCAGAAACAGTCTTTAGAAGCCAATAGGCCCCAAATAGTCTTTTTGAATGGCAATACACCCCAGGGCAATAGTCATGAGGAAGGAGGCTGGCAATCAGGCTCCTCCAACAGCTGGGGGCAAAGGGCAGCTTGGCACCTAACAATCCAGTGACAAAAGGCATTTCATCACACCCCCACATTAACTATTTTTTCAATCTTTATTTTATGCCCCGAACCAGGTCCTGGGCGCCGCTATATTTGTGTGGGTAGATGAAGGCCCTGTGGGACACGTCATCTGCCCACACTAGATAGCGCTGTAAAATTCCTGCGCATGCCTAGTTAAACACTGGGGCTGTTGTCCGAAATTCGGATGGGAATTCCATCTATTCAATGAATAGAAATGTCTAACGAACAAACACTGAATATCGATGTTCATTTTTTCGTTCGTCCCTAAATTACAATAAGGGGGGGAAAACCTATTGTCCTGCCCCCACCCCTATTACAATAAAGGGGAGAAGACCTATTATCCTCCTCCCCGGCCCACACCCATGAAAGTCTGCTCACTGTGTAGTAGACATGCCCCTACTCGCGATATAGCGAAAAGGGGCAGAATTTACTAATACTAACTAATTTTTACTTAGTATTAGTAAAGTTGGCTGAAAGACCAATCTTGGTCTTTCAGCCTTTTGGTAGATAGCTCACTATTACTGTGGGAATTAGGGAGCTATCTACTAAGCGGCTGCAAGATGCAACGGCAGCACGGATCGGATCGGAATTTCATTCATTCCAATAAAATTTCGAACCGACCTAAAAGTACCGATTTACGTCCTAACATGAATGAACAAAGTGTTCTCATTCTGTTAGGATGAAATTCTGTAGTTTCGCCTGCGTTCAAGAATACTGACAGGAGGTATCGTGAGATCACGGAGGAAAAATGAGAATTGTGGGAAATTGCTGGTCAGGCGTCGGACAAATACATACGACAATATAGTCCCTAGAAAACTAGAGCAGACAGGAAGAAGAGGAACCGATTGGGAAAAGGTAAGTTCGGCATGACAGTGCCGCTTTAAATATCAAAAGCTGACATAGGAAGATTCCTTTTTTAGAGAAATTATTAAAATGTTATCACTTTAAAATTAAAATATGCATTTGTTGCAAGTCAGTTCAGAAATTTTAGCACAACCAAATAGCTAACTAAAGATATCAAATGGTAGTGCTAAAACTTTTGAAATTCTTTATAGATTAATTTTTATTTCATGCTTTACTGGGCACAATGGGCAAAGCATGCAAGTTAATTAAACACTGTGGTGCTGTACACACAGCGCATGCGTGCATACAGGGAAGCTAGAGAAAACACCAAAGGAGCATTTCTCCATAGATGCCTGAATGTACAGTGCCCCCGAGGTATGGATGTCCAGAAAGCAGCAAAGGTGACACTGACATTTTTATACAAATATAAACACAGCAGCTCTGTAGTCCGTGTGTAGAACATTTCCTTCAAATGTCCAGGAATCTAAATTGATGTCCTATTTTGGGACAAGGTGCATGCACGACCTAGTGTTTATCTAAATATGGACAAAACTTTGATGTCACTGACATGTGTTTAGCTTAGTTTACTTTCTGGATATGCATGTTTATTTTCTTCCTTTGGATAACAGTTTCCTAAATTTAATATCTGCTTCAATTTCACCCTCTTAGGCAAGGTGAACGTGAATGAAGATGAGCTGGAAGAGATGCTAAAAGAAGGAAAAGGACCTATTAATTTCACTATTTTCTTGTCACTGTTTGGAGAGAAGCTTAATGGTAGGTGCTATTATATACCATCAGTTCTCAAAGACTGGATCATTATTGTCTGCACATGACAGTCTAGATTTTGGCCATTTGGGAGGTATATTCTTGGGGCAGGAGTCTGCACTATAGATTCATGGCTCGAGCAAAATGCAGGAGATCCATGGGTCTATATGCAAGTTTAGTGGAATGTGACTAACAAACAGAAACATGGCAAATATATTTTCTCTACCATTCTGCTACATTCTGCCTCAGTTTTTCTATATTTTAAATAGTTCCTCCACCCATAAAAGCTATGGTTTGCAATTTTGCTAATAGGTAAAGTTTCAATTTGCTGTACCTTTTCTCACTCTCTTTTCTTTTTTTAGGAACAGACCCTGAAGATATTATCGTCAATGCTTTTAAACTCTTGGACCCCAATGGAACCGGCAATGTCCAGAAAGATGAGTATGTTCTACAATCACTCATATGATAGGCGAGAATAAGTAGGAGAGAATGGTGGGAAAACCAAGTTTCCTTCCCAATTCCCTAACAAACCGACAGGCCTATAATATAACCAAATATTGCCATAAATAATTAGTGCAAATGGGATTGGGGTAGGTATTTTTTTCCTTTTTTTCCTGGCCACATGGATATAGGGAGGAGTGGGATTATTCACTTGTGCCGGTCCTCTGGGGGTATGGGGTCATTATTAGGCCAGAAGCCTTTGGAATTCACTGGATTCTGGGCATCTTAAAGAAACACTACAGGGTCAGGAGCACAAACGTGTATTCCTGACTCTATTGTGTTAGAACTATTTAGGTGGCTTGCCCCCTTAGAAAGGGTTAAAACTTACCTTATTACCACCCACACGCAGGTCCGCCAGCACTGGCCCCATGCACGATCCGCCTCTTTGCTGACATCATCAGAATTGATAATCTCAGCCGATTCAATACTTTCCCATAGGGAAAGCATTGGATTGGCTGAGAACCTCACGGAGCCGGGGTGGGAGAGCGGGGCCAAACGCCGTCCTGGCCAATCAACATCTCATTATAGAAATACATTTAATCTCTGCATGGAGACACTGTGTAGCACTGCCCAGAAAGCACCTCCAGTGATCATTCGAGGAGTGGCCACTGGAGGATGTCCCTAGGCTTTAATGTAAACACTATTTACAGCAAAATGCCTGCATTAAGCTCAGTGGTGTATCTTGGATTTGTACTGCCCTAGGCACAACTAAATTCAGACACCCCCCTAATCTAAATTTGCACAACCACTTTTTGTCAAGGCCACTTTTTTGACTGACAGACGCACACCCTCATTGACAGATGCACTGTCATACATTTAATGACAGATACACAGTCATTGGCACACACACTGTTTAAACAACCCACACTTTCACTAACAAACACCCACTCACTGAAAGACACACACTGACACAAACATCCTCACTGATATGACACACTCTGAGAAGCACACGCATTCACTCACAGACATACACTGACAGACACACACACACTCCCTGACAGACACACACACACACACACACTCCCTGACAGACACACACACACACACTCACTGACAAACAGACACGCTCACTGACAGACACACTCACTGAAAGACACACTCACTGGCAGACACAGACATACTCACAGACAGAGACACACACACACTGGATACACACATTCACTGACAGCCACACACATACACACTTTCCCATACACTCACCGTTGCTGGGCTGACTGGGCGGACAGACTCCTGGGGCTGTTGGCTTGGTTGCCTGGGTGGGCGGGCGGGCAGGCGCTTAATGGAGGTGGCAAGGGTACTGAGCTCTTCCTGCTCTGAGGGAGCAGGAAGAGCTCAGAGGACTGCGCTCCCTCGCCGCCCGCCTACACTTACACTATGAGCCAGTTGGCCACCTCTTGCTCCCCCCCCCAGGACATGAGGCAAACAAAGCACTTACCTGGGCACTTAGCCCGGCGTTTTTTGCCACCCCCCTTGAAAGTGCCGCCCTGGCAAATGCTTTTTTTGCAAAGGAGAAAAGTATTAGCGCTATTTGAGTAGTGTGTGCTTATTTTGATATAGAAATTATATACACCAAATTTAAGTAGCTGCTAAATCACCGTAGTATCTTTAGTAAGGAGAAATGCTTTGTTTGCCTTACTGTAATTACAGCCTTGATTGAGCTGTAGTTGTTCTGGTAACTATATTGTACCTTTAATGTGGCCCTGCCTGTTTGCTATGTCACAGCACTACAATGGCTAAGTTAGAGCTAGATAGAGAGCTTACACATGTATAGTGGGGATTTAAGCTGTAAAAAACCACCTAATGTTTTTTTCTTTGTTTGTGTTTTGTGAATCAAAATGTTATAAAAAAAAACATTAACAGGTTTTAGTTCCAGCAATAAAGCAGAAATCAAGGTGTTATGACATACTGAATAGCGCCAATCACAGAAATTGTAAAAAAAATATTTTTTACAAAGACCCTTTATCAACAAGCATAAAAATCACAGAAAGTGTGAAGTGCAAAAAACAACCCACTAATATAAAGAGAGGAATAAAGAAATAAAATAAGAGTACTCTGAACATCTAATGATCTCCTTGCACTTTAGGGAGATAGTCATTCTGTGAACCATAGTCATTATGGTGCATGAATCCTGTCCCTGCAGTCTAAAATTTCAAAGCTCATTATTTTTCAACCCCAGATGTCCACCTTCCTTAAAGTACTTTCCACTAGCTGCCCATATAACCAGAAATCATTGAGTAGGCGCATTGCAGCAAGCTCTGTACATGTGCCTACGTTTCCTAATGTTCTTTAATGAGGAGCATTGGTTTGGCCCGTCATTCTGGAGGCACTCCACCAGGATGATGTAAACCGAGGAGGAGGTTGTGGCAGCACCGAGGGACACTTGGACGTTAGGAATAAAGATATGTATTCCAAATGCTACAGTGTTCCTTTAAAAGATTTTTTGTTCTCTTCCCATTCAGGTTGAAGCATTTGTTGATGACACAGGCAGACAGATTCACTGCAGAAGAGGTCAGTAGCTGGTATATAAACCTCTTCAAGACACATGCAGATTAAAATGTTAATGTCAAGTATTATGGTTTTATAACATGTAAATTCTCCTGTTGTGCAATTCGGACTGTAAACTTGGAGTGAAGGAATGGTGTATTAAACTGTAGATTCAGCTCCAACAAGAAAACAGTAACAAGTTTGTATTGCGTCCTGTGAGATATTTTATCATTAGCTTAACAACAAAAGAGAAGGGGTGTATTGAATTTGTCTAAAATGTATATCCAGTGTCTAATCATGTAAATCTAAATAGTTAAATAGTTCTCTTCTATAAAAAATATAGTGCATATCACACAAAATGGGTGGGTAATCCAAAATATATTAACTGGTTAGTGCCCTAGCTGTTTCCTAGAATAGCAGGGGAAAATAATTAAATACATTGCTGTATTTGAAAGCTTGTTCAATACACAAAGCAAAAAACTGCGCAACCAGAAAAACAAAAACTAAACAAAACAAATAAATAAAACTAGCCTCAATGATTAATCAAAACATAATTTCTCTAATTGAGTAGTTATAGATGTGAAATGTGTGTGTGGAGACAATTTAGAGACAGGACAGTGTGATTCTCTTAAATAAGGGATTTTATACCTTATTTCTATCCTTACTTCTCTCTTTATTTACTTTTCTACATTATTGAATCATTCTCAGATTTTTATCTGTCTTTCCCTCTTCCTAAATATGCAGAAACGTGGTATCGTGCCAGCTGTGTTTTTAGGAGGGCTCATATACCCACCAAGTATCTCTGCATGAACCTATTTTCAACAATAATTACGATTTTGCACCGTTGGGGTCTTCACTAGACATTTTTTCAGAACAAAAATATACATCGTTATAATAGCTATTGAAAGGATGCATCCACTCCTACTTTAATTAATGCTGTTATGCAACTTTTGATATCAGTTTAAGTAGATAATATAATGCAACCAGATCTCGTTTTGCTTGACTGTGTAGTACGTATAAAGTGTTTTGATAAATCAGTGGTGCTGTTTTTTTTTTTCAGTAAAGCTGCAGTTTGGTTTGTGTATTAACCCAGCTTTGGAATAAAGGGATTTATTTATATATTTTTATAGTAGAGAACTATTCCAATATTTAGATTTACATGACTAAATAAACAAGACTGAAGATGTTGGATATATATAATTTCAATGATTATTTAATGTTATATTTTAAACATATTCCCATACCATTTGTCTCAATTGTTTAGATATGCCTGTGGGTAAATCCCCCATTTTGTGTTAAGCACCTTAACATTATTAGCGCACTCCTTTTTGTTTATTTATCATTTGTTTGTAGTATGGTTGAGATGGAACTGCACATTCTGGATCATTTTGCACAAATTTATGTTATAAGCGTACATGAATGAGCCTACTCATCTTAATAAATTAATTATCACTTATTGCATGAAGCTCACAAACACTTTGCAGTGAAAACAGACCCAAGAAGCAGATGTAGAAAGATGGATATGTTCATTTCCAGAGTTGGATAATACCTCTCACACCAGGACTAGAAGGCCAAGTCTCAATTTATAGAGCAGCATAAAGAATAGGAAAAGTTATATGTATAAAGAATGCCCTTTGAGTATTTCTGTAATTAGTATTTCTATAATTTAACAAAACATTCGGGTTTCTAACCTGTTCTATGGATGCAAAAAAATGACTACCTCAACAAAAGTTCCATCAAGTATTTAAATGTAGCCTTCTGACTCATATTAAACACAAATATTTTTTAATTGTTTCTGATAACTTTCCAGGTGGAGCAGATGTTCGCAGTGACCCCTATCGATGTGGCTGGAAATATTGACTATAAGTCGCTATGTTACATCATCACTCATGGAGATGAGAAAGAAGAATCTTGAAGGCCTAGTAGATGTGCCACAGGCAATGAAGACAATTTGACCCACACTCTGATTTTGCATAACATGAAACATTTCCATTTTAAGATTCAAATTATTTCATGTACACTGTGTTTTAGCCATATGGTTAGCACAAACATAGAACAGGCATAGACTTGTAACTATTTCTCTGTGCCAACATCTGCCTCCAGTTTCAGGCTGGCTGCAGATGTTGGCACATGCAAAACTTACGAACGCTTATGCCTCACCTGACGTGCTCATAATGCTCATAATGTCACAGATCAGACAGAACAATGAGTGAGCATCAGGAACTCACTAAGTTTCACATTGCTATGTGCTGCACCAGAGCTGGAATTGGATGACAAGTAAATATATTATGAAAGTCAGGGTATATTTCCTATATGTACTACCAACTACAATATTTATTTTATCTACTTTCACAATAAGGTGAGAGGAATGATATATGGGCAGGACATAAACCTGAGTCACTGCTGATCCCTTGCAATATGTTAATGTACTCTGTATATTTCATACTAAATGAGCGTGTTTATAAAATTACATAGACATTTCAATAACCTTACCCAGAAATGCTGGAACAGCGAGTACATCCTACCTAGACAGGCTCCTTGCAAACAGAAGTCACCTTAACATAAAATAAATTTGAAAAAAAAAAAAAAAGATATATGATGTACTTTACCTGATACCATTTTCTTTCCTCCAGAATCTCTCATACATTTTATTTCTCTCTCTTACCTTGTTTCACTTTCTCTATGCCCCCTTTTTTCCTTAAATATGTGCACCTCCTGCTCCATCTTTCTTGGTTCCCATGAGACATAATCCCATTGAGATTTCCATAATCACAAGGTTTATTTACCTCAAATAAGGCTTTGAACTGTAATACTCTTTTCTTATTTATTGCTCAACAGAATACTTATACATAGGAACATTTCTTCATTCTGTTTTATATAAGCATTTATTTCAATTCCCACCCTCAAACATAAAAATAAAGATAACTTACCTTTTATTTAAGTGGTGGTCCTCTCTCACTTTGATCACGCAAGCAGAGTATTTTAGGAAGCACAACTGGATTTCGTCTTGATGGCTGGGGGTGTTGTTCCAAAACCAATATTTAAACATAATAATTAAAACATAAAGAATTAAGGATATGTGTTTTTTATAAAGTCACACGTTTTTTCATTATAAACACCTTTAAAAAAAATATAGTGCATGAATCCCGGAATGCTCCATCCTAAATCTGTCACTTTGATGACCTCAATGATGTTAAACAAGGCAGAATCAAAACACTGGTAAACTAGAGCTTTTATACGTTTATATTGTGATTAGAAGACATCGGAGTTAAATGGAAAGGGCACTTTGCAATTCTACCAAGAGAAACTGTCCCAGGTGAATGTTGTAAGTGAAACGATGGCTGCAGGATAGCAAGACACCATCTTTACATTACAATGGTAGCATGGTTGGTGGGATTACACTGAAGGCATTGATATCCGGTGTGCCACGGCAGCACTTGGGGTTTGCACAGAAATTCCAACACATATGCCATGGCTTCCTTCCTCTCTGTCACTACAGTATAACTGTTTGGCTGGTGACAGGCTGAGAGTGTACTATTCATTTGAATCTCACTAAAATAATGCTGGCCTCACCCAGGTGCAAAAGGAAAAAGACAACTTAACAACTACAAACCCTGAATACATTTTATATTACAAAATTACAAGTATACATCAGTACAGTCAACCATTCAAGTTAGTTTGACTGTGTGTGAAGAGTTGTATATGTGTACTCACTCTGTGTTCCATAACGTGTGTTTTTATATACACATATATCTAACAGGTAATAATTACCTGCCAAGATACATGACTAAATTACCCAAATATAACACATCTCAGTGTTGTTTTATTCACTGTCACCTGCTCCTACATCTATTGTGCTTAGGTCAACCTCATGTGTAGTGCGCATGCGCTAGACAAGTCTTTTATATAGTTTCGTGATAGAGATGTTATGCCGAAGAATTAGAAAATACACCTTTTTCTTAAGTACATTCATGTCTTACCAATACAAATGCAAAGATGTGGATGGTAGCAGTGGAGCCAAGCATAAGAGTAAGTCCATATACGAATTGGAAGGAAACCTGTCAGGCACAGACATTTACCAGCTATTGGTATTTACAATATTTCAATTCTGTTTTTTTAAATTTTTTATAAATCACTAGGGAAATAAGACCGGAGTTATCCAATACTGGTAGAAATCTGTGGTAAGCATATGCAAACAGGGTTAAATTATGTGGCTATTATAGACTTCCGATTCAAATTCAATTCTGTGGTTATTATAAACTTAAGGTTCAAATTCACTTTGAATACCCACTGTAGTGAATAACCCTATATGTCCAAGCTAATGCTGGCACTTCTAGGTGTTGAAGCCAATTGAGTTCATTTTGATCTTCTTGGCCTATTGATCTCCTTGAATCTTCTTGGCCTATTGTCATTCATTTAGAAAAAAACTGAGACATGGAAATCTGGCTCTTAGTCATTGCAATGTTATGTAATAGAGTGGATCTACAAAAACATCGCCTGGATAGAGAGTGATGGGATACTTTTATTCTGGTCAAATGACGCAATACCACCTGTGATTTGTTCAAGGGTTGTTGTTTTTTTTTAAAGTCGTAGCAAATTCCCAGGATTCCAATCTTATGATTTTTCAATCTTGATTAAGAATTCCAAGTCAGCTCAATGATTGGCAGTTTTACTACTGTGACATTTATTTATAATTTATTTATAAAATATTTTACCTGGGTCCACAAAACATTGCATTGATACATTATGGTACAATAAAATACAAAAACAATATTAATACACAATATATACAAAATTTAACAGAACAGGTAGAAAATATATAATCAACTATGACACGTGCATTCTGTTTTGAGGTATGTAGAGAGGGATCTCTTAAAGGACTTTAGGCTTGGGGAAGATTTTAAAGTGTGCGGGAGGTCGTTCCACAATTGCGGAGCTCTGTAGGAGAAGGAAGATCAAGCTGCTTTCTTTTTGTATTGAGGTAGACTAAATAAAGTGCTGGTACTGGATCGGAGGTGGGAACAGCAGAGGAGAGCATTTTGCTCAGGTAGGGTGGGAGTTTCACAGAAGCTCTTGGAGCACAGCCTCAAGCTGCGGTAGATTTGATTTGCTCACATAGATTACTGTGTTGTCTGCGTACATTTGAGGATTTGCAGACATTAGGCAGATCATTTATAAATATTGTAAATAATAGGGGGCTGAGAATGGAACCTTGGGGAACACCACACGTGACTGGGAGAGGGAGGGAGTCACTGTCAGAAATGGACACATATTGCGAGCGATCCGATACATACGATCGAAACCAGGTTAGCAAACAATCACTAATACCTGAGTTTTTGAGTTTGTGCAGTAGAATGTTGTGGTCTACTGTGTCACAGGCATTTGCAAAATAAAGAAAAATGGCTCCAGTTAGGTCTCCTTGTTCCATGCCAGTTTGGATGTCATTGCAAACTTTTAAGAGGGCAGTTGTAGTGGAGTGCTTCTGGCAAAAGTCCGATTGATCAGGGGTCAGATAGTTTGATTGTTGGTAGTACTCACATAGTTGCGTATGGACACATTTTTCTAAGATTTTTGACAATACTGGGAGCAATGATATTGGGCGATAGTTAGAAACCAAAGTAGTGTCACCACTTTTATGGATAGGCACTACTCTCGCAGTCTTCTAAAGTTTGGGTATGTATCCAGACACCAAGGATTCGTTAATTAGGGTTGCAACGGGTTTAGCAATTGCTGGCGCACTGAGCTTCAACAGCATTGCTGGGATTTGATCAGGTCCAGCCTGGTTTTTCATTTTTAGATTATTAAGGTGTTTAATGACACTAATAGGTACAGGTCTAAAAATGACCTTGTCTATATTGCTAATAAGCCATCCGAATACCTCTGCTTATTAGCAATGCTAAAATGCATTTTAACCAAACAAGATTTTTACGAAACACCACAGAGGTCAAGTGAGGCAAATGCCATTTTGTTTTTTATTCTAAATGAAGTGCTATAGGTGTTGAAACTCCTTAGAGATCTTAGAGATCTATTTTTGCCATCCAACTGGATTTTAAAAGATCATCTCTCAGGCAATAAACGCATTCCATATTGAAATGCCGATAAACAAAAGAATTGAAGTCTGACTTGAAACATCTATCCTCGTTGACATTATTTTTGTTTGTCTCTTTGTTCCCTGTTTTAAAGGAGGCCACTGTTTAAGCCCACTGTTATTTCGTAATGTAATTTCTTCTTTGTTTTTGTTGTTATTGTAATTGTACTGAGAATGATAAGACTAATGTGAATTGACCGCTATGCCAAAACAACTAACAAATATAAGTGAAATAACCACTAAATATATACCGTAAAGTGTAAAATTAAAAGACAAAAGTCTCTAAATCGTAGCACATTTTGGGTGAAATCGAGGGGGAATTCAGTTATGAGAAAAACTCTTCATAAATTGCCATATGTCAAGCAACAAAAATAATGCAATAGCAGTTAAAACAATAAAGAGCCAGAGGATACCGCCATTCTGAAACTTGCCACACCCAAGATGGTCATCACTGCCTGTTAAGAAATCTCTTCATCACATTGAACAAATAGTGACCATGCTCATGGCACATAAATGAAGGCAAACAGGTACAAAGTGAATAATGAGACACACTGGGCAATGAATTTGGTGCAGTGTGACGAGGTCTTACCTAAATGGGTCAAATCAGTTAACGCTCTCAGACTCAGCCTCTCTGCACAACCGGTCCAAGGCTTCCTGGTGGAGCCTCTAACCAAGTACAGTATAAGTAAAGGGGCTCTGTTTTCCAGAGTCCGTGGTTAAAGCATTTGACGTTTTAAACCCGTAAGGTAAAACGGTGCGCTGGATTTCCTAGCACGGTAACAACTTCATTGTGAAAATGAAATGGCCACAACAATACATTTAAATATGGATAATATTTAACTCAAAATACATAAGACACACAACGATGGAATACTGAACTTTTCAGTTTTTAAAAGCTGTACTGAATGCATAAGTAGTAGAGTCAGATTTAGCTGGTCACACACTGTCACCCTTCACATACTGTCAGCCTGGATGGATAAGTAATGGAGTCAGATTTATTGGTCACACTGTCACCGGCCACATACAGTCACCCTCCACATACTGTGACTCCCTCCCACACACCACTGTCATGATTACAGAATGATCCAGTACATAGAATTGTGTAATACAGAGGACTAGTAGGTAACGTATACCGGACCTTAGACTGGCTGGACTAACGTACCAAAGAATAGTCAGGAATAGCCGAGGTCAAGGGAAACAGAAAGAGACACGATGATAAGGAAAAGTCAGGAGTCAGGGATGCCAGAAAACAGGAAAGTAAAAAACAATGCCAAAGTCAAATAACCACAATTACCAGAATCAATAACGCGCTCTCGGACAACCACAAGGGAAACCACAACAGGGCACTGAGCAGGATGAGAACTGGGCATAAATACCCCTCCTCTAGATCTGATAGGCTATAACCGGCCTTTGACCCCAAAGGCAGTTACCAGGTTCCCATTTGCATAATTGCTGCTCAGCATTAACCCTTCTGTGGATTTGGTTGCTGCTCGGCACAACTTTTCCTGTGTTCACAGTAAATGCCATTAACCACAGTTTTATAGGCGGATGAATACGTGACATTACCCCCCACTTGAAGAACGCCCACCGGGCGTGAAGGACTAGGCTTGAGAGGAAATTTGGCGTGAAAATATCGAATCTTGCGGCCAGCATGTATATCAGATGCCGGAACCCAAGAACGATCGGCTGGTCCATAACCTTTCCAATCCACCAAGTACTGTAAAGTGCCCCGAGAAAACCTGGAATCAATTATGGAGGAGACCTCATACTCTTCCTGTCCAGAAACAACTAAGGGAGGAGGAGGGACACTTGAGAGAGTATATTTATTGCAAGCATACATGAAAGGTATTAGGAATTTTCAACGAGGCCGGAATGGCCAGAGAGTACGCAACAGGGTTGATCCTACGAATGACATGAAAAGGTCCAAAGAACCAAAGGGCAAATTTCACGCTTGGGACTTTGAGCCTGATGTTACGAGAAGATAACCAAACCCTCTTGGTAAACAGGGTTGGCACCTCGACGTGCATCAGCATAATGCTTGAAACGGTCAG